TGGAACAGGCTGTACCAGGACCAGATGCTGGGGCTTCCAGCAGTGCATCCTCTAGCCGCCAACTGGAGGAACGCGTTGACCACGTAGTGGAAATGCTCGGCGACATCAGCACCTTCGCTGAGCCGACCACCATCAGCAGCCAGCTGCATACATTGAAGACCGAGGTCCAGCAGCTGCAGTCGACGAACACCGATGGCACTCCGAAGATGTACAAGATGCCAACTTTCCAACTGGACAAGTTCGACGACTACACACAGCAGGATCCGGTCCTCTGGTGGGAGGCATTCACGACGCAGCTCAGGATTCTGCCTGTCACCAAGCACACGTACATCGGCGCCCTGTTCCTGAACTCAAAGGGTGGATGCCAGACCTGGTTGAGCCACCTGGCAACCTCTCACGGCGTCAACGTACCGGACTTGAAGGACAAGATCACATGGGAGGAACTGACACGGCTTTGGAAGAAGCGCTTCATCGTCGACTAAGCGCCGACACTCGCCATCAACCGTCTGTTCACCATGTCACAGGGCAACACTGCAACACGGGATTGGCTCACGGAGTGGGAGAAGATTGCGGCGGTGCCCAATCTGGAATTGGCATTCACGCATCTACACCGTGAGTTCTACAACATGTCCTGTGCTGCATTGAGCCAGGCTCTTGGTGATCGTGAGCAGTACTCACCCTTCGCTGAGATCATTGACAAGGCGAGGGAAATCATCAACACCAACAGGTCAACTGCACACGAGAAGTCAACATGGCAGCCGACCTATGTGGAGAAGGTACGAACTGGTCCGCGACAGCAGCACTTCGCTGCAGTCCAGTCGGACAGTGGAGATAACCCAGCAGCCACTCCAGCATCAAGTGACGGAGATCAGGTGGCTGCTGGCCAGCCGCGAAGCAACAACAAGTCCCGCAACAATGGGAAGGCGAAATCCGCATCGCGGGCCGGAAATGGACAGCCAGTACAAGTTCCATGGGTCAAGTTCGGCTTGACCGAGGCGGAGTACAAGGTCCGCGGCCGCTACGGAAGCTGCTATTGGTGCAACAGCAGCAAGCACAAGACCTCCCTGTGCCAGGATCAGGGCAAGGAGGATGTGTGACCCCGCCTCAACTCGAGAAACTGAGCTCCGCGGAAGGTTAGGCGACTCCACTTTCTACTCTGCCAGATTCGGCCGCCTTGCTAGCGGCCTCCTGCACATCTGGGGAGGAGGCGAATGCCGCAAGTCCTCGTTACACTTACGAGGACTATGGTGTCCACTTGGTTCCACCGCTGGACCAACCGCTCCACGTGCAACAATCTACCGCATGCACGGTTTCATCACCATCGGGAATCGATTCGGCAGCTTCGCCGCCATCTATCGTCGGGGATTCATCGTTGTGGTCAAGACTTGAAGTACTCGACCCTCTGACGTTCACGGACTTCCAGTGGATGCCCGTTCCCCCGACCGGACGATTGCCGAAACCGCATTGCAATGTGCTCATGGCACAACTGCGAGATTACTTGCACACTGCAGTACCGACTCCGTTGATGGACGCCGGAGTAGCGGTTGTCGACCGTCTACATTGCGAAGATCGACTGCGAGTTCAAGACGCAACGGTACGACGACATCGACGCATCATTGCTATATGTACGCATTCAGATCGGAGAAGCGACCTGCAGCGCTTTGATCGATTGCGGAGCATCTCGCAAC